CGTGCTTGCGGACACCTGGGAAAGGCGTGGGACGCGGACCGAGCTCCCGGGTGCTGATGTTTCTAGGGATGATGCGGGAGCTGAGTGCGCGGGCCGCTCCTTAGCGGAGGGGCTGCTGTTTGACTGAGCTGTCCTGTTTGTTTTCTGGTCCTATCGCTGGGAATCCCTGTTTTTTTTGGCAGGCTGTATTCTTTGAGACTCGTGTATTTGGCAGCAGTATCGCCCGTACGCTCAGAACGTGCCTCCCCTCAGCACTCTCATCGGGAAGGCATTTCCACGAGTTATATGCCATCATAAGGAAGTATCAAGTTAAGGTACGTTAAATTTATTTCACTTTGCTTATTGTTTTCCCCCCTCAAGACTTGTACAGATGCATATAAACGTGCACTTTGTGTTTTGTCTGTATCTCAGGATATTGGCCTTTGTGCCTCTTTAAAGTACTCTGGGAATAGGATGAATCTTGGCAGCATTTTGGACACTGTTAAAAACAGTGCAGACCTCTTTTTGGACATTCAGCTTGAGAAGAGCATTGAAAAGTTAGGTTAAGCTAACTACATTTATTTAATTGCATATAACATTAAACGACTTAATAACTTTGATTGTAGGAATTGAGGGCTTTGATTTTGCTTCTCAAATTCAAAGGTTTTGTGATTTTCAGGTCACATCTGTTTGCCAAAAAAGGGAATATGGATCTACTCGAAGTCTTGTCCGTAGACTTGGGACAATTCTGTCCTTGGAGCCCTCCCCAAGACCTTATTTTCAAGTAAGCAATTTATTGTCATGTGTATGCTTCACCTATTTGCATTTCCTTGTTTCTTAATTTGATAACATTCTTTTCAGCCTATGTAACTTACGTGTTGCATCTCTTATTACTGTTTTCAGCTTCTTACAGCTCTGTTTAAAAATTCCTTTCGATGAGGCAGAACTTTCAGTATGTGCTGAATGCAGTTTCTCTTCATTTTTATTTGTCGTTTGTTTTTAGCTTGTTCAAGACCCAAGTCCATTGGGTTCTGATGAACAATGTACAGCTCCAGCTCCTGTGGCTCCATCACTTGCTGATGTCCTGTGGGTGGCAAATGATGAAGGACAAGCATTTACTAGACTGAGGTAAATAAAAGTGTAAAAAGGAGTAATAGAAATAACATGTCTTCTGTGTTTTATGGTTTGAGATTTTGTGTTTATGGTTTTTTCTTTTTACCTGGCCTTTGCCAGAAACATTTTGGGGTTTTGGGGGGCAGTTTCTACTTACCTGGAAATTCTTACTATGTGAAGTATTCTTGCCTGAAAGGAATTTTTCTGAAAGTTTTCTGAAATCGAGTCTCCTCTTTTCACAGCTGCATGTCAGATGCATCACTGATATTTGTAGAGAGGGAGTTGAAGGGAACAAGAAAAAATAGTCAAATGTCTCCTTTTGACTTTGAATGCTACAGTGCCATGTGCAAACCTTGATGGTTGCTTTGATGGAAATGCAAATATAATGTATTTTGAAAATATAGATTTGGATATAGTTTGCATAATTCTTTCTGGCTTTTATGGAGTGCTAAAGGAAAGTGTTTCTGCAAATTTCAAAATGTTTCAGGCACCATGAAATGACAAATTGTCCAGGAATTTGCACACAAATAGTATACAAGTTGTCTTTTTTTTTTTCCCTGCTAGAAAAGAAACAGAAAACTGTTTTACTATTCCTCTAAAGGATCTGTTCAAAATCAGAGGATGAGTTAGAGAGCCAGAAACAAGATTAAAATTAGTACACTTAAACTGTCTTGTGCTACATCTCTATAGGACAGTGTAATTTTGTTTCGTATTGGCATTTGTTTGCCTGTGATCTTTGTGCTGCTTGCTGGTCGTGAAAATACAGGAAACTGATGAGTTCAAATGACAAACTTTTTATTAGAGAAGTTTTGATCAAGTTGTGTTTCGTCTTGTGATTCCTGAGATGGTACTGTTGAATTAGTAAAGTTTGTTCGCAACAGCTGTAAAATATTGCTTAAAGGAACTGTGGCCTGTTTTGTCCTGCTTGTGCTGTTCTTTAGCTGGTCACATTCACAGGTCTGGGGCAGTTCATTCTTTTGTTGTTTCCATACTTTCCTCCTCCTCCTCTTCTGGCTCTGTGGGATGTTTTTCAAGAACAACTGCTCTCATTGATATCTTTTCCTTCTCAAGCAGTGTTGAATAGCAAAGGGTTTTGGCAAGTCAGAAAGCAGTGCTGCAGGTCTGGTTTGAAGTATGGTTAATGTAAGGGAAAGGTCTGGTTTGCTTTCACTCAAAACTTCGTGCATCTGGAACAAATAAACTGAATTGCTTTATTTCATAATGAAATTCTGGTAGTTCAATTTTATGCTCCTTTTATATTTTAAGATAATTTCTGCAGACACAGGCTTGAAACAATTTTTAAAACCAAAACTTGAGATTTACAGCACAGTTTTCCAGTGCTGTGTTCATAGTAGCTTACAAAAGATGAGATTCTTATTCTGTAAGTGGGTATTCAAACTTACTATTCTCCAGTATATCTTCTGAAATATTGTGACTTCATTGCTCCTTACAGTGTTCTTATTACAAAGCTTGATAAATGACTAAATTTTCTGAAGCCTAATTAAGAGGTCATTATTTGACTCTTCTGCCTTTCATATTCAGGTAGGGAGAAGGGAGAGACATCTTTACAGTGTCAGTCTAATAGTTGAGTAATGACAATTCAGTCAAAGTTTGACTTTATGTTGTGTAATCTATCCCTGAGTAAATTATCTGAGCAATTGTTATGGTGACTTTGCAAGGATCTGCGTCTTACTTTAGCAAGAGGAGACTTAAAACATTTTCAATGGGTAGTTATGAGTGGTTAAACATGTAGCTTTCTTAAATAGTTTGAAAATTTGGGTCTTGCTGAATGACATTATCTTGGTTGAACAGAGTGTGAGTAATTTTGAGATTTCTACTGTTGGTTGAGCCTTTTGAACATGTCCTTTGTTGCTTTCTAGGACTAAATTATGGAGAAAAGAGAAAAGTACAGCTCATGACGACCTGTATCCATCTATAGATCCAATACAAAGCGTTCCAAAAAATGGTACACAAAAAGACAATACGGTTGGTCAAGCAGCACTCCAGAAAATTTCTGCACTTGAAGATGAGCTAACCTTTCTTCGTGCTCAGATTGCTGCAATTGTTTCGGCACAGACACTGGGAAGCATTCCATCACGTAAGCTCTTCTGGTTTGAAGCAAACCAGTTTTCCTTTTCTTGCTTCAGAGCTTGCCATGCCTGATATTGTTAGAGAATGTCTCTTAACTTTTGTAACTGAAGACACACCAGCTAAATTTACTGAATATAGTATTTTGTTTCTCTTTCTGCTGTTTGATGCTCCTTTCTCCCTTCTGTTTTGTGGCCGGTTTGCCAAGTTCAAACGTGGTTGATCCCAAGTGATCTTTATAATCATTTCCATGTTTGTGAAGGAGCTTAGTAACATCACTATAGGCTACCAATTACTGTTTAAAAAAGGTACACAATATCAATTATCCCTTTTGGGTTTTGCACTGTTTCTAAAAAGTTCGGAAAATAATGAATAGAAAAAGTGTTCTAAGTCACTCAGATTCAGGTTTTAACAAAAATAAATGCTACAAACAGATATGTCTATGATAGAAGTTCATATTGGAGGCCAACTAACCTGTAACCTTTTTATTTTCCTTGAAAGTTTTGAGGCCTTGATTGTCTTACTTGCAGACTAACCCCACTGTGGTTGCTGAAATTCTTGGACTGGTGTGAGGTAGTTACTTTTGTGTGGCATTGTGAGGCACTTCTGTGGTTCAGTTAGCTGTTTTGTTTGCTCTTCTATTGTCTCTTCTCCACATGTTTTGTGGTTATCTTTGCTTTTGCTTCATCTTTGCTTTTGCTTCATGTTGGTTATTGTAGCCTTCAGACCATCAGGAACGAAGGGGATGTAGTGTCAGGCTGCTTTGCTGCTTTATCCAGTACTTGGATTGACAGCACAAATAGTGAAAATTAGAGCAGCACAGGACACCTTAGCCTCATTATTCCATGTGTTCTGAATCTGTGGTTTTGAAGTATGTTCTTTGTGTTAAGTAATTCTTCTGTGTCATAATGTGCGAGGTGTGTAAAAAAAAAAAGTGCTCTAAGAGAGCAGTTTAATCTTGACTTAAAACTTAGTCATCCTAGATGTTAATATATGCTGTTGTTTTTCTTCTATAACTGTATCCAGAAGCCTTTAAAACTGTCAGCACTCCAGATGGATTTTACCCAGTGCCAGCCATGACTTCTACGCCATTGTCCGTCTCTCACAATCACTTCGTGATTCCCTCACCTCCTCCACTTCCTTCTGCTGGACCATCTGGTGTTGATGCTAGTAATTCTGCAACGGCACTCATAAAACAACGTTGTGCTGCAGAAAACAGTGATTCAGCTGCGACTGATAGTGCTGGTCATCAGAGGATGAACATTCCTTCCATGATGGATGTTTTGAAAGACCTGAACAAAGTTCAGTTGCGAGCTACTCACAGGTAGGTTGAACTGAATCTCTCTCAGCAAGCTAAGGCTGTGTAAGCATCACAGCACTTAAGTAGCACAGAGAATACCAGTGTGAAACATCATTTCATGAGCAGCTGCTGCTGCAAACTCTAATTGGCAACTTCTAAATTCACAGCTTGGAATATAAGATACTTGTGATATGGTTTTTAGATGCATTTAAAACTAATCTGCTGCTTTAGTAAGCACATCTCAGGTTGGTGTGGGGAGGTGGGAGATTGATTACAGAGTTGCATACACAGCACAGGAAATTGATCCAAACAAATAAACCTGGATTCACTGTGAAAGGCCAAATCCTTGGGGAAACTTTGGAAAACTTCTATTAGCATAACCAGAGTAATCTGGTTCTAGCTTTGAAGCGTTAAAGAAAAGACATGCTGTATCTTTTATTGAAAATGTTTCAAAAATTTGTGTTTCAGCAGTGCAGTTGGATTATAAATATTTTTAATGCTTAGCTGTTTTGCAGAGCTGACCTTACAAAAATGTTTTACTAAGGACTGCAGCACCTCTTTGGGTCAGTGTTGCTCTGCTGTGCTAGGTGTAGTAGAGGTTGTCAGATGCCTTTGAACTTCTTGAACTGAGTCTGTAATGAATATTTGGAGCTCTTAATGTGGGAAGGATGTCATTTGCCAAAACTTTGCATTCTCATTTCAGGATATTCTGTGAGCTTATTCCTGAAAATAGCTAGCACAATTCTTGGGCACATTTTCTATATGCAACTCTGAAGCTTATCTTTACACTTTTGATTACATTTTCACAGTAAATAAAGCAAATACAAAGTGCACTTAGGTAAACCTGTGTGTTTCCCTTGTATGCATTTTCTTCCATTTAATTCCATATCTGGTGAGTGAAGAAGGTGAGGTTTCAGGTTGACACTTTTAACAACCAACATGTTGAGCAGGGGCATAATTAGCAGGAAGTGGTAGGTGTGCATCCAAAATGCTTTCTGGGTTTAGGCACCTACCTGTATTTTGAAGGTGGAACTTAACTATCAATGAATTTATATTGTTGGGGGAATAATGATGATCAAAGTTGCTATAAGCTTCCAGGCAGCAGCCTGATGGTAGTTCAACGTGTGCACTGCGAAGGGAAGACCTCTGTTCTCAGAAATGGGGAGACTGAAGGTCCCAGTTTCTACCACCCAAGCACCAGCTGACACACTGGGCAAGTGCTCGAACGGCTTGTTTTTGTAGGAAGGGTGAACTCAGCACTGTCAGTGTGCATGGATAGGTACAAATCATTGGCCTGGAGATAGCACTTAACTAGCAGAACTCTGAGCACCTCTAGATTTTTATTTTTTTCCCCCCAGATATTTCAGTGCTTAGAAACTCTTTCTTACGATTTATTTTCTTGGACTAGTCACTAGCTTCCATATTTATGTTAGGTTTTGAGGGTGCAGGTGTTGTTTTGAATTTGCGAAGAACAGTTTTTCTCAAATAAAATACTATTTTTTATTTTTTGGCTGTAAAATTTTCATATTTGGATGTTCATTTGGAGTGAAACACTGTCTCTGAAGGATTTGTGCCAAACCTGATGATAATCTTTTTTGTAATAATGAAATTTTACTGTGGCTTATAAAATGAGGCTTTGTGGTCACCTGGCTGCGTATTTGGCTTGAGAAAAGGGGTTGTTTTCTTGAAATGTAATTGCTCTGTGCAATTTTCTATGTTTGTTCTTTCTTGTGAGACTGTAGGAGCCTATAATGTTCTGAACTTAATAAAGTGTAGATAAGTTATGTTCACAGTAGTTATGAAATATGTTAGTGGGACATTCGCTCTGATATATCTTATTATAAGTGAGACTCGCTATAAAAACTGCACATTTTGCTTTATTTTCCTCATTATTTATTTTCAATACTTTTGCAAGTTGTGCCAATTTACTGCCCTTTTGCTTCATGGAACAGCATCAAGTTGTGTTTTCAGGCTAATAATGTGGCAGACAAGTTGTTGGGTATACTTGTATTAGTCCTATTTGACGAATTGCTGGAAAGTAACAGCAGCATTATTTGTGTAATCAGTGAATTACAGGATAGGGTGTTTACAGAAGTTGTGCCTCTAGATTTTGGATCACTCGTCACAGGATTATGGTCAGGAGACAGAAATTTTATTTTATTTTTTTTAGGTCACCTGGAGGTACTCCACTTTCTAGACCCCCAAAGAGGCAAGGTTCAGACTGGGATCCAGTGGCTATACTAACTCATGCACTGAAGCAGAAATTTGCACATCTAAGTGATGATGGAGATGATTCCCTGGACAAAGAAAATCGATCTTTTGATAGCTCTTCATTTTCTAGTCCAGAGATCCCAATGGTATGTTTTTATATACGAATGTTTGTGTTCTTGAAGTGGCTGCTGTTTTCATGGGTAGTTGCAGGGTTTTCACAAATCTGGACCTTCTCTGCAATTTTTTAAGCCGTCAGCCTAGGTAGTTGCTTTTTTAGAAGTATCAAGGCAGAAAATCTCAGAGGTTAATTATTTTAGGTGGATTTAGACTGGTAAATGCAATTCTAGATGTGCCAGGAGGAAAAAAAACACATAAAAGACTGATTATAAAAATTCAGCTCATAGTTGAATGAACTATGGATATTTGCTTGATGGTAACTGGCAAGTATCCATACATAGAACCTATATGTACAACTAGTTATTGACTGATTTTACACATAAAGATGTTAGGAAGGTGCAGAAAGTTCTGATTGACACATGCTCAGTGAACAGAAATGAAGATGAAAGCACTACTATTTTTCTTTGGGGTAGTATAATTTCCATACAGTTAGCATCTTTATCCAAACTGAGATGTGATTCTGTTGTAAAGCCCATGAAAAATCTGGTTTTCGTTCAGAACAAAAAAATGTGATAGGCAGATCCATCAGACTAAGGTGATTCTGAGTGCTGGTTTGTGTGGAGCAGCCTGTGCAAGCTACCTCAGCTCACACAGTCCAGTGGTGCTGTTGGTTGGATGGTAGAGATTTCCACAAACCTCAGGACTGCTTAGATGAGATGGGTAGAAATAGGTGGCAGTAATTTAAACTCTCTCTGCTTAGCAATTCTATGTCTATATTGTAAGAGTGAAGTAAAAGCTTTGGGCT